ATAGTATTTTAGCTATTTACAAATTATTTATGAAAATATGTCTCGTAATATCTAGAATAATTGTTGTAATGTTTGTTTTTATTTGAGCTTGCATATTTGAAACTGAATATGGACACTTAAATGTACCTATATACAGTTTAGGGTCTAAATATGTAGCATATACAGGGTGTCCCAGGCTGAGCGTGCATTAGAAGTTTCTAGAGAACCACAATATTTAGATCGAAGATTTTTTGCACATCATTGTTTTACAACGAGATCTATCGATTAAAAATATTTTCAATATGGCGGCACTTCCAGAAATACCGGAAGTTGACAGCAACTTTCTTATTTTAAAGGGGTGCCCCTATTTTTTATTATGTACTTAAATTCTCTGTAAAATTCTATGAATATTGATGTTAAACACTCTATATCTAACATTAACCGTTTATGAGAAAAAAATTATTTAAAATTTTTGGACGAAAAAACTACCTGTCAAGAAAATTTGTATAGCCTAAAAGTCAAATTTAGTAATTACCACAACCACTGTAACATAACGAGAAGACATGTAGCTATCTATTTCAAAAATTAACTTGTTCAAATGTCATATAATAATGGCGGTAGCTGTCATGGAATTGAGTGATTAAAAAATTATCATAATTCATTATTTTCAAATGGAAACCCAGTTTATTTATTCCATTACTGAAACTGTTTTTCAATTTGTTACTTTTTAACTATACATGTTCCTATACCCAAAATAAATCGTTTTTAAGTTATTTAAGATTGAGTTAGAAAACGTATATTTTTCTTGATTTTATCTACCTTCCTTTGACATTAAGTGTCAAACGGTGAGACAATATATTTCGATCTGTCAGAAAACCAATTATTTGAATTTCCTGTAGTACAAATACCGTATGATCGAATAATAACGGCGTTAGCGATGACTATGAAATGAAGATCGCTGTCATTTTATATGTAAAATTATATGGGAAATCTCATCGATCGTCACTTCATGGCCATCGCTGAGGCCGTTTTTATTCGATCATACTGTCTGCCTTAAGAGTTTAAAAAGTGTATTTATAAAAATATATCTCGTATTTTCGCTCTTTAGTGATATCTGATAGCTGATATTATTAATATTCCGTATGATCGAAAAAAACAGCGCAAAGTTGGCTCGAAAATGATGCTGCTTTTTGAACAAAGCGTCACAATATGATATGGCCAAATGTATTGTTTTACATCACTTGACGTTTAAAATCATAGGCTACTGGTTAAAATCAATAAAAATATACGCTTAAAACTAAATCTTAAATAACTCAAAAACGATTTATTTTAGGTATAGAAACATGTATAGTTAAAAAGTAACAAATTGAAAGGCCTTTTAACAAGTGAAATAAAAAAAGTGGGTTTCCATTTGAAAAAAATGATTTATGATAATTTTTTAATCCCTCAATTCTATGACAGCTGCGGCCATTGACATTCGAACAATTTAATATTTGAAAAAGATAGCCACATGTTTTCTCTTTATGGCACAGTGGCTGTGGTAATCTCTAAATTTGACGTTTAGGCTAGACACATGTTTTTGATAGGCAGATTTTTTCGTTCAAAAATTTTAAATAATTTTTTCCTCAAAAACGGTTAATATTAGATACAGAGTGTTATCAAAATTCATAAAATTTTACAGAGAACTTAAGTATATAATAAAAAATGGAGGCATCCATTTAATATAAGAAAATTGCTGTCAACTTCCGGTATTTCCGGAAGTGCTGCCATATTGAAAATATTTTTAATCGATAGATCTCGTTGTAAAACTATGATGTGCAAAAAATCTCCGAGCTAGATGTTGTAGTTCTATAGAAACTTCTAATGCACGCTCAGCCTGGGACACCCTGTATACTATATATTATTCTGTTAATACCGTCCTAAATTACCTCCTAAGTTACATTTACTTTTATTATTCATACATTATAAATCCAAAGTAAACTATCTAGTCGAAATTGTTTGTCTAACCTTTATTTGCTTTTGATAGTTTGTTGCTTTCATGCATGTCAATAATTATATATTTTATTTTTATACGAATTTATCTGCATAATTTCTATATCTTTTTATAAAGTATATTTAGTAATCTGAGAGGTCCAGGTCCAAAACCCCAATATATCACTAAATGGCACAAATTTATAAACCAATTATAATTTATAAACCAATTATAATTCAATATTTAAGCAGAACATATTTTAGAAGCAGATAAAATGTATTTCCTTGCTTCTTGTTTAATTAATTTAAAAAGTCAGCCTTGATTTAATTCTGCTGTCTAGATAAAAAAATAATAAGGGACATAATAAGAATTTTATTTAAATTTGTATACTCTTTCTGACTCGCATATAGGCGTAGGATATATTTATCGTTTTTTATGAGGTATAAAATAAATTGTAGTTGTATATGGGCAAGTTATAATTTTGAAACTTGTTTTATCTTTCAAATCTATTTTCAATCTTTTTTTGGCTATATTACGAAATAGAACAAGATTTAACTGTTCATTAAACTATATTTGATTAAAGATTTTGCAATTCTATAATATAGCCAATGGTATTAAAAATAGTTAGGTTTATGGTAATAAGATATCTTACGGTTCAGGAAATGATTTTTTTTCTACTAAAGTTGAGCATCATAGAAAAACATAAATAATATAATAGTTTTACAATACAGAAAAATATAATAGTTAACGCAGAGAATAATTTCAATCAGTCATCAGATAATAATTAATTAGATTAATTATTAAATAATTACTAATATATAAGTACTGTATCGCTGAAAAATGATTTTTGAGATATGTTAGTAATGTTGCTCTATGGCAATATAGTATGTAAAATTATACGGCGTATAACTTATTATTAACTAATTTTAACTCGCGATCAATAGCAAGTTACATTTGATTCTTATATTTATTTTAATATTTTTAACACATAACATAAAATTAACTTTAATATTTATTATTAATTTAATATTTCTTTTTTTAATTTATATATATTTTTTTATTAACAATAAACTTCTAATAAATTTTTAAATACAAGGTTTAAATATCTCATTGAATTGAGTTTTAAGAAAAAAAAGTTCTGTTATAAATGAATTTTCTGTTTTTCCTTGAATTCGAGTAATAACACAGATATTAGTTTTATTTTAAAATTTAAAATTGTCTGTTATACACTCGTGAATAAAAAAAGGTTTATAAAATTATATTAACCTAGTATTTGGTCATATACGATATTGGTAATGTATGCAAAATTCAATATAATAGATATTTAAAATAGATATAATAAAAGAAACGGGGCAGTTGTCAAATAAGTTTATAAATTTATTTTGAATTTTTGGAATATAAAATTTGGAACAATAAAAAAAAATAAATATTCGATATTTCCGAAGACCTAATAATAAAATAGCAATTCATTATAAAAGTTTGTTAATAGTAAGATGGGAATTTGATTCCTAAAAGTTTATTCATTATTTGTCATATTAATAGAAGTTTCTTTTACCTGAAAATATGGAGTAATACTTTTAGTGTCCGTATATTATTAGTTCAAATTTTAAATATGTATAGTTTCACTGATTTTTTAATATAAAACTGTGATTTATGTTCATTAGACATAAAATCAATTATTATAATAATTAATGAAGTACTAAAAGAAAGAGTTTACTTTTACATTTTTCTGGTTATGTATATATAAGTAAGTATTCCTAATATTTTTCATATTACTACTAGTTCTATATTTTTGTTAATATATTAAAGTTAAAGATTAATATAATTTATTGATTTATTTGCTAGTAGATGATACCTATATCTGCCTAACTTGTGTCTGTCATTTGTCAGTAGTGAATAGTTTTATTTATTTTTGTTTATATTTATTTTAATTGTGTGTCCGTCATATTGTCTCGTCACATATCGGTTGAATGAAAGGTTGTAATGAAAGGCGTATTTGGAGAATGTGAACATAGTAAATTACTTAGATTATCAAGGGGGAGCAATATCCTAATACTAATTACATTTAAAACTTATTGAAAAATAATGGTTCTCTTGATATTCTGAATATAAAGTAGTACATTTGTTTTATGCACATGGAGAAATATAGAAACTTAACATGTTTGCTCAAATGTAAAATATCTAAGACACTGCAGGATATATATTTTAGAGTATATTTCAAAAAGTTTACAATATAAGAAGATATATTTAGAAGATACTAAGATATATTAAAAATAGAAAAATTTCAGGGAAGTTATTTAGAAAATTTTAGTGTTAGTTTGCATAGAATCTATTCCTCTAAAATGTTTCTCACTAAACTACAAAGTAAGTAGAGTCTTAAATAAAGAATAACAAAAATATAAAAATTACTACTTATTTTTTTTCTTTATATCACTTAAATTGTAATAAATTACAAAATTTTTCTTATATGTACATGTATTATTTTATTCTATTATCTTATCCGCTTTTATTAAGAAATAATTCACACTATTAGTTGATTATTAATTATATAATCTCTGTTTTACTTTAAAATAACAGATGAGTGCAATATATTATTTGCTTGATGACGATCAGAGATATGCCTCTGTGAAACGTCACTACATAATTTGGTAAAAACAAGTCAAATCCAAAATTAAACTTTTACACAAGAATATGCGTATCGGATATTCAAATGTTATGAAATCAATACAAAAAGAATTAGCATAATAATATAATCCTTTAAATCATTAAGATTAGTATTATTTAGTATTATTCCTGTTGAAATAATATTCCTGTTTAAATATTATTGCTGGATTACGCTATATATTCTGCAGAGTTATAAATCAATATGTACAAATATTTTTTACGCGATGTGTAGTACTTATTTTAAGTAAACTTCGTCAAAGCTATAAAAATCTAAATTTGACTACTTATATTAAAATAAAATGTGCATAATATGCATTTGGTATTACTGAGTGATTAGTAACTGTCCTGTCTCTTGTGTTCCCTGTGTCGCTGCTGCAACCCGTAGCGAGTTCTGGAACTCCTTTACACCGCGGTAAGTCGCAGCATCTCCCATGTTCGTTCTTTGTCTGTCTGTCCGTTCGTCCATGTACCGCCTGTTACATAATACATACATTTTTCAGTTTTGCTTGTTAATATAACCGCATATTAATCTTCGATCAATTTATACGGACAATACAGATATTCAATTTAATATTATTGAATACAGATATTTGTTTTTTTATAATATAATTACTATAATAAGGTGGTAGTTAATATATTTGTATATGATAATATATCAATAATTTTCATACAAAATACTTGCAATGCTGGTATATTATTTTGTCCCACTATTAACAGACTTTTTATTTTTATACTAACACGTTTATTAAAAAAAATATACCTTATATATTGGGTAATTAACTGTATTATTGTATGTATATAGTATAGCAAATTTTTGTCATTTTTAAAATATATCACACATTTGATAAAAATACCAGGTGCGTCTCAAAAGTGGCTCACCCCCTATAACTTTTTTATTTTTTCAGATAATACAATGAGATTTGGTATGTTAGTATATGATAAAAATTAGGATTGATGGACATATTCAATAATTGTTTTCCATCACTTCCGGTCTTACCGGAAATTACTACAACTTTTGATTTTTAAATGGCACACTCGTTATTTTTTTTACTTTATTCGATAGAAAATGACACTCTGAATCGAATGACATATCATACGTCAACTTTTGACATATTCACATATGGTTTATAGTACACACACACACACACACATACAGTGTGACCCACTCAAGACCGGGCACCCTCCATAAAATCTGTGTTTATAGTCCGATTTTGATGATTTTTTTTTCAAATATAAAGTTTCAAAAAATGTACTTTAGGGCTCAATGTCATGTTATTTCACAAAAAACAAGGCCTACTTAATAAAGTTTTTGTGGTGAAAAATTTGCAAAATCATATTAGCGATTTTTTTTTCAAAAATTTGAGTACACCCTACATTCGGCATCCCCAAAACAGTTCTGTACCAAATTTCGTTTAAAAATATTAATTATTAATAATTCTGCAGTTAAATTAAATAATTCCCTATTTTTGCCAATTTAACGATGAGTTATCACGTAACCCTTGAAAAAAACAATCCACAACAATGGGTTTTATTAGCTGTCAATTCTTGCAGCGTAGAATTGAATATTAATTTAATAGCACGCAGAAAAGTGTTGTATCAAGAAATATTATTTGCATTATGGAACAATTAAATATTAGGGATAAAATTGAAATTATTCGTTTAGTGGGTGATAACTATCTTCAAGCAGGAGAAGCTGCCAGAGAATTTAACAACAGACATCCCGACAGACCTGCAGTAAGTAGAAGCACGGTTCAACGAATAAATAGAGTTTTTAATGAAACTGGTTGTGTGTCAAAATACTTACTAAAAAACAGAAGGCCGGAACATCGAATAAATAGGCGGAATGAGGAAATATTAGAATATTTTCGTAACAATCCTCGTGCAAGCATTAGAGGCGCCAGTGTTGATTTGGATATACCAAGGGAAAATATTAGGAGATGTTTGCGAACTAATAAAGTTAAACCCTTTAAACCAAAGATTTTACACACTTTGGAAAACGGAGATGATGTTAGACGATTAGAATTCTGCTTATGGGCTCAAGCAGAGTATTTAAATAGTAGAAATTTCTTAAAAGAAATTTTATTTAGTGATGAGGCAACATTTAGTACAAACGGAGTAGTATCCTCTCAAAATTCGCGATTCTGGGCAATCGAAAACCCTGAATGGGTGATCAATACAAGAAGACAGTATTCTCAGAAATTAAATGTGTGGTGTGGCATACTTGATGATAGAATCATTGGTCCATATTTTTTTGAGAGAAATTTGAATAGTCCAACGTTTTTGAATTTTCTGATTAATGGCAGTTGTCAGGGAATGGTTAAATGAAAATTTTGAAAATAAGTGGATAGGTCGAAATAGCCCGCTAATTGAGTGGGCACCGAGATCCCCGGACCTAACACCCCTTGATTTCTTTCTTTGGGGTTTCTTAAAGCAACAAGTTTACAAGTCTAGACCTCAATCTGTAGATGAATTACGTATTAGAATTACAGAGGCTTCTGCAAATATTACACCACAGCAGCTTAGGAATGCAACTGTTAATCTAAGAAAAAGATGCGACAAATGTATTGAACTGAATGGAGGCTGGTAGAAGCAACTAGAATTATTTGAATATGTTTAACTTATTATTCGGTTATTATGTTGCTTGTAGTATTTTTTATCATTGTTTGTAATAAAACTCGTTGTCGTGGATTGTTTTTTCAAGGGTTACTTGATAACTCATCGTTAAATTGGCAAAAATAGGGAATTATTTAATTTAACTGCAAAATTATTAATAATTAATAATTTTAAACGAAATTTGGTACAGAACTGTTTTGGGGGATGCCGAATGTAGGGGTGTACTAAAATTTTTTGAAAAAAAATCGCTAATATGATTTTGCAAATTTTTCACCACAAAAACTTTATTAAGTAGGCCTTGTTTTTTGTGAAATAACATGACATTGAGCCCTAAAGTACATTTTTTGAAACTTTATATTTGAAAAAAAAATCATCAAAATCGGACTATAAACACAGATTTTATGGAGGGTGCCCGGTCTTGAGTGGGTCACACTGTATATTCAAGGAGCCTTGGAAAATAGATTTGATCATCTAATGTTTCTAGTGTCTTGTCCTGGGGCGCTATTCTGTACAATCATCGGTATCGGCAAGTTACCGACAGCTATCAGTACGTACGGCCAATGAGCGTCGTGTTGATTGTTGTTGTCATAGTTACCGATCGGCCCTATGACAGATATTTCAAATTTGTACCGACGACTCTCGGTATCTCTACCGTGAGGTTGACAAGGGCACGGTAGAGATACCGATTTTCGTCGGTACAAATTTGCGATATCTGCCATAGGGCCGATCGGTAACTATGACAACAACAATCAACACATGTTTACTATATACAAATACGTACCGATAGCTGTCGGTAACTTACCGATACCGACGATTGTACAGAATAGCGCCCCTGGCCGGCTAAAATATGTCCAAATCGTATTTTTATTCATATATCAATTTTTTCAAATACAACGAGGGTGGCTCATTAGCATATTTGGAAAAAGTATTTTTTTACGAATAATTTGATACCGCAACTTGGCATTGTGCCGTTCAAAAATTAAAAGTTGTAGTCATTTCCGGTTAAACCGGAAGTGACCGAAAACAATTGAATATGTCATTCAATCCTAATTTATGTCGTATACTAAGAAACCAAATCTCGTTGTTTTATCTGAAAAAAAAAATAAATAAGTTATAGGGGTGAGCAATTTTTGAGACGCACCCGGTATACACATATTTATGTTAATAGGTTTACTGGTTTTAATATAGACATGTAGCTGGACTTATAGTTAATTGGACAATGTTTTTATATATTTTAAACCAGTTGATATGCAACAAATAATAAGAAAGGATTCATTCTTGAAATTAGAAAAATGTGGCTATCTGTTCAATATAAAAAAATATATTTCGTATCAAGAACGGTGAACTTCCAGAGCAGTTGGCATTTACAGGTACGTAATACGTGCAGTAGAACTTGACTAAAACTCTACAATCTTTTTACGATAAATGTTTCCAAAAAATTAAAAAAAGTTAAGGTCTGTTTAATATAGGAGAAATTAATAGATTAACAATTTGTTAATTACCAGCCAAAAAGTTACAAAGAAAACTATTTGATATTATTTATAATAATCTGAAATTAGTGTGCAGCTGGTTATACAAGCTGAAAATTCACAAATGTCCAAAACAAAATAAATTGTACTTAACAGCTCTTTATCATCAGAAATGGCAATACAATGTAATTTATATTAAACATAATTTTTTAATTAATATATATTTGTTATCAGAAATCATGAATTTCAAGAGAAAAATATTAATTTATGAAATAATATAAAGAGGTAACAGTGAAAAAATAATGAATAATATAATTGTAATTCGCCTTATCTTGCGTGGCGGACATGATCATTTGATCACATGTAAATATTAAAAAGATGTTTGGCCAAATTTCATTTTAGAGGAAACTTATTTGACCCATTTTAAAGAATTATTAAAATAACAATTCTTGGTGCCACAAAAGCCTTGGTGAAACATGCACACATATTACATTATAACAAGTATCATATTATTTGTTTCTTCTTCTATATAATATACCAAAAGCATCTGAAAAAAAGTTATAAAAAACGCACCGTAACACCATGTCATTATTAAAAAATTACATATAGTAGACTTCTATTTTTCATAACTAAATAATTAATTCGCAAAAAACTGTTCGAAATGGACAATTCGCTTCATTTTAAAAAGTTTGAAACAGGTTTTTAAAATCAAATCTAATACTTTATAATGTTGATTATTTTTTAAAATTCATACATGGAATTTTTTATGTTTCTGTCAGACTTGACGGTTAAAATTAAACAACAATTCACTACAATACACCAAAATACTCTTTTAAACATTGAATGACCATATTACAATCATCAGCAGATGCTTATGGTGACCGAAACGCGCGTCCAATGTTTAAAAAACAGATTTTGGTGTATTGTGGCGAATTAATGTTTTATTTTGCTGTTGTAACACCAAAAATTCTAACCCAACTGTAAGCAGTTAAAATATATAAATAAAAATAAATCATGATAAAAAGGAGAAATCAGCTTTTGCAAAATAAAATATATTAATTTCAGAATTATAACAAACATTTGCAATACTACCTAGTATCCTATATTTTTTTCTACATCTGATCAAAAAATTATTAATTTAACGCATTCAATAAAAATTAGTATGAATATGTCTGTATTATCCGTAAAAATATTTTATCTCACGTTTGCAATGACATTCAACATGTGGCCTGCAAAGCTGAAACCGTATATTCTATACCTACCTTGTTTGTTTGTATATCCACTACTTCATGTTTTGTTCTCTGTGTATTACATATGTTTCTCGTGCTTT